GCCAGTCTTCTCTGTGGAGTTACTGCATTACTTGCTGTCCTGTGATGGATTATTGAAAAAAGGCGCCATGAGTCTCGCAATTGGACGCTGGAATATTGCACACGATTTTACAAGCCTAACTTATAATAGAAACTAAATAAGCAGATGCTGAGGCAACTGCTAGCTAGGAACATGTTGAAATTTTTGTCTGTGGTAATCAACCATGCGCTACAGATGCAGCAGCTAGAGTTTTCTTTTTTAACGTTTGAATTTTCGTACTTTTTCCTCTTGGGTAAGGCTAAAAGATTAATGGTTTTTATATTGAAATCGCAATTTCGCAAGGGTGCAGTTTTTTAAACCGCAAGAGCTGCAATTTTCATTATGGCCTACATTATGAACAACGTTGTCTTAGCATTTTTTTAAGTGGGGAGATTTAACCCAATAACTCAGAGCTTGTGAATTGCCTGTAGGTGTATTAGACCAGTTAGAAGCTGTGCTGTGTACATGACAACACAGCTCTAGTTCTGGGGCACTACATTCAGTGTTCAAGCATCAGGTCATGAAAAAGTGGACATTCTGGTCTTCTTGGCCAAAAAAACAGGCCTGGACTTTAATTTATAGAAAATAATCACAATTTAAATCACAATCACAATATTGGTCCAAAAATCTCAATTAGATATTCTCACCAAATCATTAAATCATTGGATGAGCGTATGTGTGTGTGTGTGTGTGTGCTGGCCCTGGCTGCTACCCTGGGCCTGTTGTAACTAATGCATATATTAATAAGATGTATTCATTAGAGGGCTCTGGCAGAGCCACAGACTTTAATGGTGCTTTAAAGTTTCATCAGCTGTGAGGGAGACGCAGAGAGAGAGAGAGAGAGAGAGAGAGAGACGCACAAGGAGAGTGACAGAGAGCCCAAATTAATTACTGTGGAAAAGGCAATAAGTGAGGGATCTGATGAAATGAATAGAAGTGAACGGAGGAAGATAAAAACGGCCTGAAGAGTCAACGAGACGAGAATGAGATAATAGAGGAGAGTGGGAGAGGGTGATGAGTTGAGACAGAAAAAGAGAGGAGAGGGGGTGGAGAGAGAGAGTTGAATGACGAGTGAAGAATCTGTTGAGCTTTTTGAAAGCTAATAGTTCCTTCCACAGGTGTAGTTAGTAGAGACAGTGGAAAATAGAGTAGAACGTTCAGAACAAAATATTTTTTGGGAGAAAAGAACACCACTGTGTGTTCAGCAGCTGAGTCAGTCTTGTAACAACTCTAACCTGAAACATCACATTCATATTGTGGGATGTGAGGTGTGTTTCTTCTTGTGGGGTACTAGAGTGTTTGAGTAGTTTGAGCATAATAGCTCATTTTTAGATGATCAACTTAGGTGAAGTGCATCAAATAAAATTGATTAATTTAACAGCTTAGTAGTTTTTCACCCCTTAAATAGCCAGGGCCCACCGGCAGGCCCAAAGTTTCATTACATGCTTCTATAACCTAAGAATAGCTCAACTAGTCCCTATGGTTACTGAATAATAAGCCTTAGTATGTAATAAGCCCAGGAATTTAGGGGGTTAAAGTGAACAATATTGAGGTTTCAGTACTGATTATGGTGTCAGAAAAGAAACAGTGTCTCTAGCATTGGATGAGCTTTATAGAACAAAGTGACAAAGCAAAAAAACCCTTTTGACCTAATGAGAAATTGTAGTGATCTTAGTTTAGAGGTGCTACATTGTAGTTTAAACTCTGTGCTACTGAGCTGGACTTTGGAGATTTTTGCAAACATTCTATAAAGCTTGTCCAACCTATCAACAGTTGCTGCATAAGAACGCATTAATAGGCAGAGTGCGGATAGGCCCAGTTCCTTTACAAAATACAAAATATTTCCAAATCGGAAAAACCTTTAAAAAAACTAGAGGCATTATTGCTTTATTTCACGTTTGTGTCTCAATCCAGGTTTCTGAGCCTCCATTTAAGAGTGTGTTGCTAGTTGTTTAAATTGGAATTTGTTATTCAGTGCAATTTGATTCAAGAACCCTGTTGATTCTGCAGACCATAGTAGAGTTGTAAGGGTCACCTCAGCACTGCCATAGCTTGGCTTTTTTCCATGAGAGCACAATTACGTGAAGCGTGTTTATAGATCAGAAGTGGTAACCGCAGCGCTTCTGCGTTACCCTGGCCGCTCTCAGCAAGCCCTCCGTATTGAGTGTCATGCGAACAACGTCAGAAGGGACACACTCACTTCAAGTTTGTCGTGAGCTGCTTGTAACAAAAGCATGCATAGAAAACTGTCACAGCATTTATCACCTTTCATATAAATTTTGGCTTTTGGTATAAAACTCGTTTTAGCCTCGTTGATATTTTGTTGATATTTTATGTTTAGTGATACGGAGCATGCTGTGGAATAACCAGTTATTCAAAGATATAGGCATACTTATTATTAATGTTAGTGAATTATTAAACAAATATTACACACACACACAGACAGATGTGTGCATCCTTATGTATGGTTCTCTATAGGTAGCTGAGGTCAAACAGTTGGTTTTACAAATAGAAGTTTATTGATTTATTTATTTATTTGGTAAATATACATATTGTTCTTTACAAATGTAGTATGTAAAAAATGTGATCCCAGTTTTAAACAAAAAAGTTTGAGTCCTCTTTTACCAAGAATGGTGCAGCCCTAGCGCTAGTGTGATTCAAGCTAAAGAGCACTTTGTTCCATCGGCAGTGAGCTGAAGAGAATCAGGAAATCAACACAGCAGTGTGTGTGTGTGCGTGTATTTCACTTTGACAAATGTGTGTGGTGAGAGTGAGGACACCACACACAAATAGTTCTGTCATTTCAAGACTGTGTGTGTGTGTGTGTGTGTGTGTGTGTGTGTGTACAAGTTTGGTAGCACTTGAATGCTGAAAGCTTATTTTTGCCATTGAGTGTGACTTAAAGAAGGAAGAGTTGTTCATGAATAAAGAGGATAGGTTCTGCACACACACACACACACACACACACACACACACACCCACACACACACACAGCATTAGCAGAAGTGGGGAGGTGGAATGAGGGATTGATGACATTTATTGTTTCACTGGCTGCTGCTTTTCTTAGCTGCCTTTTAAACTTTCTGTCAGTTGTCTGATTGTGTGCTGTGCGTTTAAAAGATGAACCAACTAGTTTGTGTCTTTATTTGACTGTGAGAAACTATGTGTGGTGTGTGTATGTGCGTGTGGTGTGTGTATGTGTGTGTGTTTGTGGTTATGATGTAAATAAGCTGATATCCTGTGTGGGTGTAGGTAGCATGATGGTAGCAACCGCACACACCATACACTGTGTCTTTTTAGACAGAGTGTGTGTGTGTGTTATATGCAGATAGTAAGAGTGTAACAATGCATCATGATATTGTGGAACGTAAAACTGTTATAATGTGCATCATGCAGGTGTGACAGTGCATTGTGGAGAATGGGCATTCTGTTAATTAATTACTGCAACTGCTTAATTGTTTTGAGCACCAGAGTTTAGCGCCAGTCAGCAGCTCACTGCAGCTCTACACCTGCCTCCCAGCTTTAGATCATCGTGTTTATAATCATTATTTTTCTCATCTTGAATTGTGTTCAAAATGTGATGAATCTTGAATCTGATATTGTTCATTGTTATTAATGGAACTAGTACTGTGAATTAAATCGAATTGTGGCCTGAATGTATCATTACACCCCTTGTAGATTACTTTCCTGTCAGGTCACTCTGCTCTTATATGATGGAAAGGAGTAGAAAGAGATAGTTTAGTTAGCTTTCTGTCTGAAATGAAGGAGAAGTGGAGATGGAGAGAAGCTGAACATGTGATGAAAGATGTTGAAAAGGTAGTAAAAGAGTGGTGGAGTTCAGGGGAGTTTCTGGGTGTCATCACACTTGATTAACCCTTAAATAGCCAGGGCCTGCTAGCGGGACCACACATCTATAACCTAAGAATAACTCAGCTAGTTTGTATTGAACTCCCTGTGGTTACTGAATAATGAGCCTTAGTATGTAATAAGACTGGGATTTTAAGGGGTTAACCAGTAGAGAGTGATGTGAAGTTTCTTGCCTCAACCTTTCTCTCACAAACACACACACACACAGACAAAGAAGAAAGAAAAAAAAGCAAAGAAGAAACAAGTTTCACTAGTAGACTTCATTGCTAAAACAAACAAATGCGAACACTCAGGCACACACATACACAAACATTATTTGTCTTTTTTTTAGCTGTGGTCTCTTTCTTTGTCTGAACTGTGATGATGGATGTTATGACTGCACGATATAGACAAAAATGTGACGTTCTGACTGGTTGTGACGCAAGTACAGACTTTTTTTGGATGTGTAAACAGAAATCTTACTGCCCTCTCCTTTATGCAAATAGCAAAAAGACAAAATTACAAAAGCTCCTTTCACTTTGTGCAACATGAAAAGAAATGAAGTACTCACAGCTAGTTACATCAGAATGACAAGCACATTTTATGTGCTCTGAAAGGCATTGCTATATATGCTATTGCTCTTTACATTGTGTGTAAATTTCATGATGAATGGACCAAAAGAAATGACACAAATTTACTTGGAAAAAAGTCTGGGTCCATTGACTTACATTAAAAGTAAAGTATGTTTTTTCCTTCTACTGTAAAATTCTCATTTTGTATATACAAGGTTTTGTTCCGACAACAGCGATATGTGTGTGTGTGTGTGTATGTATATATATATATATATATATATATATATGCAAAGTACTGTATATAATGGTTATTTTATCATATGCCTCCTCCACCTGTGTATGTAGATATTCTTTCTTATTCTTTATTCTGTTTATTTTATTTTATTTGTCCCTCAGTAAAATACTTGGTGAAATAAATTGATTCTGATTCTGAAAAGCATATTGTAATGTAGTTTATCACAATAATGATAAAATATTGTCATATTATGCATCCTTATATCAGATTGTGTTGAATGCAGTCATATTACGAGAGTATAACAGTATATTTTTTTTCTTTCTATGCAGAGTCTTCAAAAAGTCCAGCCCCAACTGCAAGGTAACACTTAGACTAAAACAGTGACTGTGTGTGTGTGTGTGTGTGTGTGTGTGTGTGCACATGAGAGTCTCTTCCTTTCTCTCAGTGGACCATCTCCTTTCCTATTGTGCTCTCTCTCTCTCTCTCTCTCTCTCTCTCTCTCTCTCTCTTCTGTCTCTATCCTTCTCTGGGTTCCCTCCCATTTCCCTCCCTCCCTCTGTTTCTTTCCTCCATCATTTCCTCAGGGTCACTCCTTTCTCTTGCCTCCTCTCCTCTCTTGTTCTTTCTGTCATCTGCATATTTATATCTTGCTGTGTCACCTGTGGTAAATCATTGTTTTTTTTTTCTTCTCTGCTTCTGTTTGATTTTGCATTTTATGCTTTTTGTACATTTTGTTTTGTCTCCTTTCTTCCTCTTTTACCAGTCTGCCACTGCCTGTTTTTCTTTTGAATCGTTTGATTTACTTTTAATCTTTGTTGCAATACATACACACATACTGCCTTTTTGTATTCTGTCTGTGTCTGTTTGTCTGCTTTTTTGTCTGCCTGCCTGCTGTCTGCTCTCCCTCTCCACCCTGTCTGATGGAGAGTTGTGTATGTGTAGAGGATGTCTTTTGTGATATCACTCGGTCTGGCAGAGTCGTCTACAGGAAGGGTGTGGAGCGACTTGGGGTCAGTTTGGTGTGATTCAGACTGTTTGGTGAAGTCTGTATGTGTGTGTGTGTTTATGTGGCGAACAGTCCTCCAGAGGAGCATTATGCGCTTTTATTTGCTCTCTAAGGCCAATTCATTAGCAAGTCTAGGCTTGTGACATTATGATCAAAAATCATTTTATATGTTTTTTTTTCTCCTAGCTCACGGTATATCTGGGGAAGCGGGACTTTGTGGATCATCTAGATCACGTGGACCCAGTTGGTGAGTCTAAACCGTTCCCAAAGAAAACATCTCAGGATTTTTACTGTTTCTGAAAATTGTTATCAATGTAGTCAGCTATAGCAACAACAGTCGACTTGCAAAGGAGATGAACTGTGGTCTCTCAGCTGTCTCCTGAGTATTTATCATGGCAACCCCTATTAACTGAAGTCTTAACCACAGCAGCATCCGTTAGCTTGATGTTTGTCTTTGCTGCACCAATCATTGATCAGCTCCTTTACCGCTACAAAGAGACCAAGCCTTTACTAAGAACTTTGTTCTGATAAATGCAAATTAGAATAAAACATCAAACAGTCATAACTCTTGTTAACAAAGAAGTTGGCCTGAAATCGACCTCTTTTGTTATATTTGAATCCCTTTGTTGGGTGAAGTTAAGGTTACAATAGAGCGTGTTTAAGCCACAGTGGATCTTGTTGTTGTCCCTCATGAGTCACAGGTTTGGTGTAGGTTTGCAGATTTTTGTCACTTGAAGTGCTTTTGTCATTAAGACAGTATGGCAAGTGTTCATTGTCTTATGTTGATGTCATTTTATTTTCTCCAAAACCTCTTCCTGTCTCTTGCGTTCTCTGTTTCCTTGACAGCAAGTCTCAGGGGGAACCTCTTTACTTCAGTTAGGGAGACACAGAAATTCCACTAATGACAGAGATTAAAGTGTGTGTGTGTGTATGTAATGAAGAGTTAGTCTCGAGTATTCTAATTGTAACCTTCTTAAAGGTGCTTACTGTAATTGTTACCTCCCTCACTAAAAGGCTATTCTGTGTGGGAGTGTGTGCAAAGTACTATTACGATGAGATTAGTTTTACATGGGAAGGTGGTGTAATGTAATTATTACTGGTCATTTTAGTCTCACCCAAAACTGCCCTGTCCTTTTTCTGGACTGTGTGCTCCCGCGTCAGTAAAGATTCTGGTGGCTAATACCAACTATAAAATTAAAGTAATAATCTCAGGTTATATTAATCCCATGCGAATTGCAATGTCAGTAAACATTCCACCATATCCTGTGGAAAAGTTTCTGCTGTGGTTTTTGCTGCAGTTTTTTTTCCATGAGGCCCAAATCAAGCTGATAAGTATTTTTGTACTTTAATTGTTAAATAAAATGACAGAAAAAAGTTTGATTTTATTTTTTATGTTGGTATTGACTGTTGGCTGTAAATTTCCAAGTGAATGAGAATGCTAATGACACTTTGCATTTAATTAGGACAGGTAGGTAATTGGTTAGGGTAAATGAAATAATGATTAAATGAGATGTTCGGACATGTTTTCTACTTGAAAAAAATTGAAAGTATAGAACTTTTTGGTGTGACAGCAATGCGTAAATCAAGTATGATCTATCTCTGCCATTCCCAAATCCGTCATTTATACCAAATCTGCTTATCCCATCTGAATCAGTTATAAACATTACAGAAACATTGCTGTGGTAAAATTACACCACCGCCCCAATGTAAAGTAAAACCTGCTTGACCACTACTTTAGTAGTGCTGGGAACTGATAGTGTTCTACCTGAACTAGAAATAAGTGTGTAAACCTGAAAGTTGTGAATGTCTCCACATCCAGTTCAACCTGTACAATGTGACTAAATAAGGTAATACTAAAAATCTGTTGACACCTGCTCATCCAGCTCCCCCCACCTCCCCTTACTGCCCAAACAGCCTCTGCTCTTCTGGGAAGGCTTTACACTAGATATTGGGACATTGCTGTGATTTGAACATTTCCATGAGATTTTAATTGCATTCAGTCACAATAGTTATAATAGTTAATGAGGTCATGTACTGACAGTGAATGATTTGTTCTGGAACACAAATGCCACTCCAACTTATCCCAGAGGTATTAGATGGTGTTTCATCACTCTAGAGAATAGAGTCACTGCTTTTCAGTCCAGTGCTGGAGGGCTTTATACCCCTTGGCATTGGGCATGCTGACATTAGGGTCATGAGCAACTGCTCCATAGTATCATACTGGCAGTGCTTTTCTGTGAAGATAATACAAACCATGTGTGAGCAGTTCAACATCTGTGTCAGTAATGGGTGCAAATTAAAGTAGAATTCAATAATTAGAAGACAAATAAGGCTTTCAAATGATTAACATGATTAATTCACCACTGGAACCACAACAACACTCTTGTAAGTGATAAATAAGTGGTAGACTCGAACCATAGCTTGTACCATTAAACATGTAACAATTTTGATACAGTTTTAAAAAGCTGTTTTTGGCAAAGGTAAGGCCTTGTTGTATCATCCCTTGTATTCCCTGAGCTTTGCTAAGAGTCAGTGACTATAAATGTAACATTGTGATATTAGCCTCAGATCAAATGTCACACAACTAGGAAAGCTCACCTTTCCTCCTTTTCTGGTCTGTAACATTGGAAACATTAGTAGCTGTGATATTTTACATCAGGTTTAAATAGTTCAATTAACAGGGCCTTCATAGCTAAACATACTTGTGCTTATGTTTTTCCTGTCAGTAATGCTGTGTTGAAACTGTAGTGCACAGCCTCTTGTACAGTGTTCCTCAAACACTCAAAGTTTATAGGATAGTCTCAGTATTGTACAACGTGAGGAGGAAAAAGCACCTTCCGAAATGCTGAGCTATCACTTTCACAGTGTAACTTTCTCATGCACTTCACTGCATCATCAGTTTTGAGGGCTTAGAAAACAATAGTATGAGCAGAATTAAGGGTATGATTTTGCTAGTGTGTGTGTGTCTGTGTTTACTGTGGTGCTAACTACTGTATATCTGTTGTCTGACCTTAGATGGAGTACTTTTGATTGACCCAGAATACCTTAAAGACAGAAAAGGTGAGTGAATACATTGGCCAACTTTTACAAAGAGACACTTTAAATTGAGATTAGTTTTTATGTTAAAAAAGTATATTAAAATATATTACAAATCTCAAAGGAGTCTGGCATTGATCTTTGTGGTGTTTAATGGCCATATTTGAACTTACTTTCTCTCTTTTTTTATTCACTTCTTCCTTCAGTGTTTGTGACCCTGACATGTGCCTTCCGTTATGGCCGTGAGGACCTGGATGTGCTTGGCCTGTCTTTCAGAAAGGATCTGTACATCTCAACTTTCCAGGCTTTCCCTCCACTGCCTGAGGAGCGCAAACCACTGAGCCGCCTCCAAGAGCGACTGCTCAAAAAGCTCGGGCAGCACGCACACCCCTTCAACTTCACTGTAATTACAGTTCCATTATACGAGTAGTCATTCATTCAGCATGTTCATTGTATACAGCTGCTTATAAAACAGATAGGTCTGGTTCTAAAAACCGTGATTGGCTGAGTCACATTTGAAGCTGCTGTGAAATATTCGATATGCACTCACATGGCACCACACATTGATTGAAATCTATAATAATGCAGTTATTAAAAACCATTATACTGTTCAAGGAACAATCTTTTACTGTTATGTTGCTTAGCAACCATGTATTACTGAACCACATTACCTGAAAAATTGTTAATTGCAGCTGTTATTAGTAATACTTTTTTGGTTTAATATATGTTGCCACTGTTTTTTAAAAGCAATAAGCCACTGAGGGCCATGTGTTACAGTGATATTACTCTGCTTTTGTAAAATCACTGCACTGGTCAGCCTCCAGTGCTTTAACATACAACTATATTGTACTAGCTATATTATAGCTACATTATACTGCGTTTAATTGTAATTATAATGTTATTATCGGTAATTATAATGTTATTGCACTTCTGTTGCATTCAGTGCTTCATCACCATTAATGCTATGCTTATTATACTGCTTTACAACTTATTCAAAGTTACCCAATACAGAGAGCGTGTAAATAATGAAAAAAAGAAGTGAGATGAAAATGCCTAAGATGAACATAGGTAAACCTAATTTTTTTTCAAAATCATCAATAAAAGGCCTATATTATGGACAGCTGAAATTTCTCACTTTTTTGGAAAAAAAGAGTTTGATGTAATATGTAAAAAATGTAAAAGTTTCAAAATATGGGTCCTTTTGGTACATGTAACTAATATGAGGCCTTATTGCCAGCTAGCCTTTGTGTGCTCAGTTGTAATTGAGATTATGCTTAATTCATGTGTTGTTTCATTTTAGATTCCTCAGAATCTCCCCTGCTCAGTCACTTTACAGCCAGGACCAGAGGACACGGGCAAGGTAAAAAAAATAACATATGCACATACCCTGGCCTTACGTTTTTATTGCTATTAACATATATTAACACATGTACAACTTTGGTCCCTCAGGCTTGTGGCGTAGACTTTGAGATCAGAGCTTTCTGTGCCAAATCTGTGGAGGAGAAGATTCACAAAAGGTGCAGAGGCTTGGCTTTATGTTCATCCTCTCTCTGAACACAGTTTGTAGCAGTTTTTGTGCTTCAGTGTACATGGAGGTGCTTGGGGATGTATGTGTGTTTGTATCAGTTTAAATAAGAGTTTATTTGTTGTCTGTGTGTACTGAGAGCCAGCGTGTGTGGCTAGGTGTTTATATTTCTGTGTGTGTTGTTGAGAAGACTGTTAAGCCTTTTGTGTTTGTTTATTTGTATAGGAACTCAGTGAGGCTGGTAATCCGCAAAGTTCAGTATGCTCCGGAGAAGCCAGGGCCGCAGCCCATGGTGGAGACCACACGCAGCTTCCTCATGTCTGACCGCTCCCTACACTTGGAGGCCTCGCTTGACAAAGAGGTGTTAAAACATATGCACACAAGCTTAAACACGTACAGTTTGCTGTGGCTAACAGTTACCCTTGACAGTGCATTTTTCTTGTTGAATAAACTTTCATTTGTATGTATAATATGAGAATATAAGCTTTCTTAACATCTCTATCATTTCTCTGTTCCAGCTCTATTACCATGGAGAACCCATCAGTGTCAACGTCCATGTCACCAACAACTCCACCAAAACTGTCAAACGAGTTAAAATATCAGGTAATAAGGCAACCAGAACTGCAGCTGAATGGTTGATGATGTGATGATGTATTTGGCCAAATTAATGTGAAGATTTCTTTAACTCTGTTGTGTCTGTTATCATTTTTCACAGTCCCTATTTTTGCTCTTTCCATTTGTATTTCATCTTACTCATCCTTGTCAATTTACCTCATGTTTATTTTAACGACAGTAGTTTTGCTGTGCATCTGTTAAGTGTAGATTGTAAGTTAGTAATGATTGTGTTTCCACAGGAACATCTGTGCATCAGTATATTATTATGCCTGGTACTGAGATAACAGAGTGCTTAAATAGACGTTTGGTTCAGTTGTTGATGGTATCATTTCACTATTTAAGATAATTTTGTTTGCCTGCTTCAGTGTTACTGGACATCTGCATGCATTTAGATGGAATTAGCAGAAAGATATTGATAACTTTTGCTATGCAGGTGTAGCATTACCATGCCATTTATGCATTAAATGGATTATATTATTTGTTCATGCACTTTCCTGTCTTTTTTCCTTCCTTTCAGTGGGTTGGTGTGAGTTTGTGTGTATGTGTGCTTGTGCATTTTGTGCACATTTGTCTAAGTCTACAGCACTGTGCAAAATCAGAGACTGAAATAATTAGATATAAAATAATCCACTTGCATAAGGAAGGAGAAAGTCAAAGAAATATATGTGAAGAAACAGGAGTTGCCATAGTTGGAGTTAAAAAATATTTTTAAAAATATAGAAAAAACAATACTCCTAACAATCATGCAAAGCCTGGTGGCCCACCAAAACTGTCTCCATTAGATTAAAAGTACTTACAGATTTCATCTTTAAGAGAGAGGAGAAAATGAAGCTCCACTCTTGCTTGAGTCCAGATCTCAACTTTACTGAATGTATTTAGGATGACTTGGCCAATGAGAAGCAGAAAACACAACCAACTTCTAAGACTGAACTTTGTAGTGTTTTAAAGTATCCCTGTAGATTTCTTTGAAAAACTGAAAGCAAGTCTTACGTGTGTGTGTGTTTGTGTGTGTGTGTGTGAATGTACATGTACATGTGCATGTGTGTAACTGTGCTGTTCTCCAGCCCTGCTAACCCTGCTGTGTGTCCCTGCTCTCTCCCCACAGTGCGACAGTATGCTGATATCTGTCTGTTCAGTACTGCGCAGTACAAATGCCCTGTGGCTCAGGTAGAGGCCGAGTGAGTACCCCTCCACCTCTCTCCATCCCTCTTTTCCCTCCTCGTCCCTCTCTTCTACTCTCTTCTCTCCATTTCACCTTTTTTCCAGACCTCTTACTGCCCTCTCGTTCTGAATGAATGAGAACTCTCAGTTTTACCTCTTTTTCTGCCTCTGTCATCTCTTTTTTTTTCCTTAGCCTGGGTCTCTCTGTTGTTCTGTGGTTATAAGTCGGGTGGATGTGGCATTCTTATACACCACACAGTATTGTTTGCCTGCAGTGCTAGAGGTTAGCATGTAGCGGTTTAGATAGGGGCTCGTGGAGTTCATCACATAGGTTTGTTTTATCCCTTTGTTTTCTTCCCAGACCATTTGTCAGCATTTGCTGTAATTCCTTTCATGCGATTTTGCTGTTTGTCCCAAAATACTGTGACAGTCTGTGCTGTAACCAAAGCAGCAAAGTTATTGCTTTAGCAGCCAGTCTTCCTGCACTTACGAGTCCGTAGCTGTAGCTCCTTCTTCCACAGCAACCACCCCTATTGCTCAGTCATTGTAATTAAGCCTACTGCCCTTTTCACCTCATTGTGACATCACGATAGATGCCTTGTCTACCAGCCAGTTGCCCCTGGTTAGCCACTCCCTCCTCCCACTGATTGGCTGTCTGTAGCGATGTCATAAAGGGCTGTTCTCTCCCAGTGCTGCAGGTGACATATGTGGTTCTGCACTCCAGCGATACCTACAGCAAATCTGTGGGTCGGTTGGCCTCCCGGTGAGTATGGCCAAGGGGATGCCCAGGACCCCCTTTTTTGACCCTGAGCAACCCTACTGGCTCCTTTGACCATCTATCCCAAGTCATTATGCTTCTTGGACTTTTTTCCTCTCCTCCAGTGTCGGGAGCTGACAAAATGTTCTGTATTTGATCAAAAGTGAATAATAGATGCAGTGAAATTCTTCATTCCTGTTTTATTGCACTTGTTTTTTTGTGTTTTTATACTTTGTGATTATTTTCAGTCCACCAGTTTTTGCTAGAGTGGCACTCGAGCTGCTGGGCTAAAAGCTAAATTCCCACCCGCTTACTATTGATCTTGATGTGCCAAAATGAATTATTTGTTGCAGTGCTATCGGTATTTGTCACTGGCTGCAATTGATACGAGGCCCCCACAAGCATTTGCTGTCTTTTCACTTTTGTGTGTTCCCAGTAGAAATACCAGGCCTCGATTAGTTTTTCTCAGCTCACCTACAGTGTTGTGCTTACACTACTTCCCCTGCAGTACACTCTCCGTTAAATGCCTGCCTCTGAGGAAGATCCTCTTTCTCACTTCTCGTCCTGCACCTTCTTTTTTCTGTTCGTCTTTCCCCTCATTTGCTCTCTGGGGTGTTTCTCTAAACTAGTCCAGAAAACAGCTCTCATAAGGCACTCCTGTTTGTAGCTTAGCATTCTCACACACACCCTGACATTCATTTGTATGCACAAAGTATTTGAAATTCAAGCAAATCTGCCTTTGTTTACTGACAGGAAAAAGTCAGTCCAACCATTTGCCTACATACATTAGATCAATAAGCAGCTATATTTTAATCCCAATGAAGCAGACTTGTGTAGTTATGGCCTGAGATATCAGTGGTGTGGAAGTATGACCTCTCTCTAACCTCTCTCTCTCTTGCTTGTCTTCTTCAGTGATCAAGTGTCACCCAGCTCCACATTCTGTAAGGTGTATACACTCACCCCCACACTGAACAACAACAGAGAGAAGAGAGGTCTGGCCCTGGATGGCAAACTCAAGCACGAGGATACTAACCTGGCCTCCAGCACCATGTGAGCACATACCACCCAGCACACTGCCCCACACAACATCCCAATACTGCTTTCTAGATTCAGATTGCTACCTTGCATTTTAAGACTTGCCCATTTTAAATGCAGTGTTGTTATTCCGTTGATTTTTAGACTTATTATTTAGTAATGACCATGAAATCTAAGCCATATTCAAGCTGGATTAGTTTTACCTGTGGAGGTGCAGTAATTTGAGTGATTACCTACAAAATCTGTGATGTTAATTCTGTATAAATCTGCAGAGTCTGTTAACCAGTGTCTATAATTTATGAAACCTGGAGCTGATTTGGTAAGTGTAGTCCTATTCAAATTGACCTAATGGTAATGTAATAACAAAACCTGGTAATAGACATTGACACCTCATTTTTTTTGCCAACTGGGCGACAAGGCTAACCACTAAACTGTTTGACTTGGCAGAGTTCCTTTATCCTTAAGTTCCACGCAAGACCATTGTAACCTATAACATTTTCATTGAAGGAGAGGGAGAAGGAAAATGAAATATCTTGAAAGTACCTCTAACAGAGCAGTGCCATTTCTGTTTTGTTGGGGCTACTTTACTAGTCTGATAAGCCCAGTTTATTAGCATAATGTTATTGGATCTGACATGAAATGATTAACTGAGAGTTTTTGTTGTTGGTTTGGGGGCCATGTCGATTTAATGTTAACTCTGACACAAATGTCCGGGCTGTGACGTTTTGATCGGGGCTCTGTGGGGTTATTTGGGAAAATTACACAGAAACTTTATCCTGTGTGATTTGGCCAGTACAATCCCTTACAAATTACGTTACTGGACCTCCTCTGGTAAAACTAATACACCATGAAAAGGACTTAATATGCAAGTTATATAGTTAAGAGCATGAGAAGTTGAAGTTTAAAGGGTTAACAAATTGATACAACACAATTGGAAAGGAAATTAATATAGCACTGGTTCAAGAACGTATTGCTGTTTATGTTTATTGTTTTTTTCTGTTTTTTGTTGTTTTTACTTTTTTTATAGTGTGAAGGATGTGTCCAATAAAGAGGTTCTGGGCATCCTGGTGTCTTATAGAGTCAAAGTGAAGCTTGTGGTGTCTCGTGGAGGGTGAGCACAACGGCCACAAACACACACCAGCAACCACATATAACCAATGCTAATTTCCACATCTGGCCATCTTTTTCCATGTGTTGCAATCTTTGCAATTCATTACTGTAATTCAATTTCCACCACTCTTCCCTACCCAGGGATGTGTCTGTGGAGCTACCCTTTGTCCTGATGCACCCCAAGCCCTCTGAACAGCCCAGCTCAAGACCACAGTCAGGTATATATGCTGCCTAAGCAGAGGCACTCACCTCATTAATGTAATAATGTATTAACAACAGATAGTTCCAATCCTAAAGTCTGATTACAAACACATCAGTTGAATTCTGTATGAATGAGTTATTATGTAAGTATAATAATAATACGTTCAATTTATAAAGCACCTTTTACATATCCAAGGTAGCTGTGTGACCCAAAATACACACTACAGCAGGATTGAGATAAAAAGATAGAACATCAACTGGAGTGGGAGGGTATCAGAAGAGGACAGTGAAGAGCAGAGACAGAACGGTTGAGGTAGAGAGGTCCATACTTTGGGGCCTGTAACACTAAAGGATCTGCCACCAACAGTGACCGGTCTACTGCCAGATGACCTGAGAGTGTGAGCAGGGTGTAGGGTGTAGGGTTAAAGAGCTCAGCAAAATAAGGTGGAGATATATAATACCATATAAGGCTTTAAACAGTAACAGGAGTTAAAACTTAATGTGCTGTGAGACATAAAGCCAGTGTAACTGATAAAAGATATGAGTGATATGGTCAGATTTTTTATTGTGGAGAAGGAGAATTTGAACTGCTAAGTTTTTATCATATTGTAGGGGCGTAAGGTTTTGTCGGGAATGCCAATAAAGAGAGAGTTACGATAGTCAAGATAGATAGAACAAATGGACAAAGATTTCTTTTCTGCATCATATGAAGCAGAGTTCAAAGCATGCAATGTTACAAAGAGGAGAAAAAAGTTCTTTCGACCAGGACTATAATGTGAGATTCAAAAGAAAAAGAGGGTAGTGTTGTAGCCAAGAACATCTCAAGTCCAACTCAAGACCAAGACGTGGACACATTGAGTTCAGACCAGTTTAAGATTTTTTCAGAATATAAAAATAAAAAGAAGAGAAAATTAAAATGTGTTTGTAGTTCATTCTGCATTCACAATCAATCATTATATATGCTATGTATTAATAAATATTATATTTTATAATACATTTTGTAAAATATAATTAAATAATATATAGTCTAAAAGCTTTTTGAAGCAAATGTTTGTGAGGTTATTCTCTGTCCCTTCATCTCTAAAATTTATCACAAGTCACCACCTAAAGTAAACTAAATATTAATCAAACAACATACATTCATTTTTATTATTAAATGAAAACAGTGATAAGAACATTTCGGTGTGCTTTCACTGGATGTTTCAATTTTGGAATCTGTGAACATCAACAAACAAATAATACCCAGCATAAAAGCCAGCCTGGAAAAGCCAGGAGCAACAAACAGATTTTATGTAAACATGTAGAGAACACTGTTTAATTCCATTTTAAGGTTTTGTTGATAATCAGTAATGATGGAAACAAAGTTCAGTTCAGTTTCCTCTTACCTCAGACAGAGGCATCACACTCGGTTGATCTCAGGAACAATTTCTGAGTCCGTCTTACCTCGAGACTGAGACAAGACCAAGTCTAAATGATGATGAGACCGAGCCAAGACTGAGACTGTTAATTTATGGCTTGAAGTACTATAATGCAGAGAGAAAGATCACAGATTACACACATTATCAAAACCATTGTGTGTTATGTTGCTTGGCAACCTTGTTTATTGAAAATTATTTATTGAAAATGTATGTACTTTAACATATCCCTTTACTCCACTTTGTGTCATGCCTAACAAACCTTAACTGTGGTACAATCACAGTAACACACAGCCACTTGTGTTTTTTTCCTTTAGTCTAGGACAAAGTCCAGGCAGTTATTTAGGGAAAATCAATTTTAAATAGTATTTTGGGAAGTATTTCTCCTCTGTGTCCAGAACTCACTTTAGTGGCTACTTAATGAGAGAGACTACAGTTGTTTATTGCCTTTCCTCCACAGTTGTGCCAGAGACGGACGCCCCTGTGGACACCAACCTGATAGAGTTTGAGACAAAGTAAGTTTGTTGTCTTTTGTGCATTTGTGCTTGTTGCTGTGTGGCTAAAACTGTCCTCAGTGTTATTGACCTTGATATCTCTCTCTCTCTCTCTCTCTCTCTCTCTCTCTCTCTCTCTCTCTCTCTATCCCTCTCTCTCTCTCAGTAATTTTTCTCAGGACGATGACTTTGTGTTTGAGGACTTTGCGCGGCTGAGGCTGAAGGGGATGAAGGACGATAAGGACGAGGATGACCACTTCTGCTAACCCTTCTCTGCCCCCCCACACAGCTGGTCATGGGAGTGTGGGGCTGGAGTTTGACTGGAGGGGCTCCACATGTCAGTACTACTACACCGCTGTCCCACTGGGCCAACCTGACAGAGTGGGACACTCACTGAGTTTTCACACCCTCTCTTCTTTTCTCTCTCCTCTCTTTTTTTGTCTTTCTCTTGCCCTTCCCCTTCTCCTCCATCTCCTTCGCATCTGTGATGCTGCTGTCTATGGACTTTTTCTTTTTTGTGAGCTACTTTGTTCTAGTGCATGTATGTTAGACAAGACAGAAAATGAAACAGAGTGAGAAATGAAGAGAAAGAGGTGAATTGGAATGAAAGTTGTCTGACCATCATGGTCTAGGAAATGTCCTTGGACAGAGGGTCCATTAATTCAGGGGTGATTTTTTTTCTTTTTTTTCTTTCTATTTCCTCATTTGTTTCCCACTGTAAACTGAGTGGGCATTAATAGCTTTGTAATAATGTTAACATAATGTGTAATATGTAACTTCAGTGTAGAATGATGACATGTACCACAGATACATATAGGGAACTCAAGCTGCAGATAATTTTATTCTTTTGTCAAATCCAGTGTAAGTCTTATAGACCACCAAAAGACTTCTTTGCTCCATAGTTTTATTTTACAGTTGTGTACACATGTATACATATCGCAAGATAATATGGACGGGTATGACTATTCAGTGCCCTTTATAGATTTAATAGAGCACTCAACAGTCAGGTTAAGTAAAGTGTGGCACTGGTGAATAATAATTGTTGTCAAAGTGCATTGGACCACGAAACACCTGATGTATTATTGTCATGTAGTTGCTCCATTCGTTTGAGATGTATGTAGAATGTGTGTCCTTAGTGTGGATTGAGTTGTTCGAGTGACCAGGGGTCTGTCTGCAGATGCCTGTTGCTACTGTATATGCTGCACATCTAACTCACCATTTGGAGCGGCTGTGGTGAAGCTTTCTTAATTTAAATTAATTTGCCAAAAACTAACGACTTACTTGCTTAGTTGAATTCACTGAAAAATTTTAGCGGAAGTTTGAATTCCAGAAAGATACATTTTTAACTGAAAGTAAAAGTTTTAACTGAAAGTAATTTTCAGGTGTTGTTTGTCATAATTTCCAAGAAATTGGCTCACTCGCCCCGGATCAGGCTTTTCAGTTTAAGCTGCTTTCCGTTTTTCCATATTTATTAGTGCCAATCTTCCTAATCTCTACACAGTACAAAATTCCAGGTTTAATCTATACAGTCCAGCAAACCTGTCCAAGGAATATTTAACCTACTGATTTGCATCTGGGCTATAAGCACTTTTATTTACGTTGGGAGTCTGCTGTCAGCTCATGTCAGTGCGCATCATATTGACACAAAATATTGACTCTACTCTGCCCCCTGGTGTCAATATGAAATGCTTTACTGCAGGCTGCCATATTTTTCATGCTTTAATGCGATATAAATGGTTCTGTCCTCATTCTAGCAGAGACTATTAATTGGTAATTGATTGATTTGCCTTTTATAATCACTTGTCTTTTAATGTATTTTAAATAGAGCTTGCTGAAATATTGTCCACATTACACATTTTCTGTTGCTAAAAAAATATACGTTTTGAAATGACCACTGTAGGCAAACCAGGTTAACTTCACACAACTATAGACTAGTATCTAGTGCTGTGCTGCTTTGCCATAGCTGGCTGTACTTTTGTATGTCACTTTCACATTTTCAAGTTCCCCTAAACAAAAAGGATTGTCAGGGGTGGGATGGGTTAAGGGCACTTCTGAGGAAATACTTCTGAACTTACCACTTATAGTCATTCTATTATTGTAATCACATGACGAAAATTAACAAATATTGCTGTTATCTTTGTTTATTTCTATGTTTTATTTTCATCAAAGGTTATGAATGAAATGTTTGAATGAACTAACCAGAAATTCTATGCTGTATTCTGATACGCTGTATATTATTACCTTTATTTTTAAATATTATTCAACGGCTGTTGTTAAAAGTCTGATGGTGTACATGCATTAAGGTCAGCAGACAAACCCGGGTCCTTATGGACCACATGAAGTAGTGGTTTTACCTTCAGACTGGTTCTGCTGTCTGATGCATTTCAGTCACTTGCTAGCACAGCCATCAACACCGTTTATAGTAAAGTATTCCAGATGTTTATGTACATAGATGCACACAAATCTAACCTGCTATTGGAATATTATCACAGATGTTTGACACCCTTTAGTTTATGTGAACAACCTACACAACATGTGAACAATCTCATTAATAAAAGAACAGCTTTGAAGGACTCGTGTTTTACAGATTGGAAGCTGGTGGACTATACAATAGGAGTGGGAAAAGTGAGCTCTTGGCAAGTTTACCTAATCGGAGCTCTAAAGTCCTGCTGAAGTTCTTTTTTTAGATCTCAAGAACATTCATGAATATAAAGAAGTAATGGTCAAAAATCAGCTCTAGACTAGGAAAAGATCACATTGCATTATGTCACACAATGCCGTCGAATAAATGATCAGCTGAATTTATGTAAGGGTGTCTGCATTTGTGAAAAGCTGTTGACTGTCTATTGTCATGTTTAGAACGCTTTTTTTTCCTTTTCTTGTTTGTTATGAAATGGCAGGGAGACTATTTTCATCAGATGGTCTAAAATCATCTTATCTTTGTCCTGTTGTGAGTGCTTGACCAGAAAGCCAAGCATGCAAAGGTGACTGTAGGCTTTGAGAATGTTGTATTATTGTAATGAAGCACTCTCTCAGACCATCTTAATGTATAACTTTGCTTTTTCAATCCAAATGGAGCCTCATATGTCTGTGAACCAGTCAAGTGTATAAAAGAAATATTATATTGTATAACTTCCCTCAGATTCAGTAGGGCCTGTCTAAGGAAACCGCACGCTAATGTTGGTTTATAGATTATATTGTACCATGTCAGACTTTTTGTATTTTAAGGATGATTTTAAGCTACTTCTACTTCTCACTACTACTAAAATTGATATTAAGAACATAAACATACATGCTACCTGGTAATTTAATTCACAATAAAGTAAGATGAAATATATTGATATTATGGATTCCAAGATACTGTATAAGCAATATGTTATTTTAGTCAATAAAATGGAATGAAAATTCACCAAAAAAAGGTAAAAGTTTTTTAAAAATACATGAAAACATTGGAAAATATATGTTGCTTCTTTATTTTGTACTGCGTTTTAGAAAATGTAAAACAGTTTGGTGTCAGTCTTTATTTTGTGTCTGTGTATGAGATAAATGATGAAAGAAAAGACAAAGGATCGGTAGACCTACGTGATTAAAAAAGCAAGAAAAAAAGAAAAAGTAGGCCACATCAAATGATTCCATTCCCTTCAGTGCTTCCTCGTTCCAATTCTCCATAGAGAACTCCAGCAGAAGTAGGTTAATTTCATCATTAACTTCACTTTAGACCATTGATGAGAGGGTAGTTTTCCTGACAATGTGATGTCCTACTCATATCCTTCACAAAGGGCTTATTCTACTTTTTTTATTGTTTAATTTTTTTGCTTTTTATTTTTTTCCTTGTTTTTTCTTTCACATATTACATTTCTGTGAATTACGGCTGTACCAAAAACAGTTAAGTTCTTATATTTGGATGGTAAGGACTGAGTAGTGCATGTCATGACTCACATAGTAAGCACATCAGTGCTCACATAGTAAATTCAGTTTTCCATGATATGGGCCCTTTAAAGGTGGTCAGTTCAGAGGTCATTTGTGTAGGTAATTAAGTAGTTGAGTAAATAGGCCTAGTGGGTTTGTAAGAGATATTAAAAATGACACAAACAAGATATGTTAGTATACCATTAGCTAACACTTTTAAAAGTGATTGAGTGTTAAACTTACTGTTTTCCAACATTGCTTCTCAACACATTTTTTGTGTTTTACCTTTCCCAACACACCTGATCCAACTAATCAGTTCATCAAGCCCTTACTGAGTTAAGGTAGGTGTGCTAAAGCAGGGAGAGCACTAAAATGTTCATTGAGAAACACTGATCTAACTGAATGTAAACAATGGTAGGGATACGGCCTATTCTCTTTCCCCACTCTCCTTTAATATCACAGATTTCCCTACATGCACATTAAACCAGGAGTGCCCAGTCCTGAAGGTCTAACACCCTGCAGTTTCTCTCTAAACCTAATCTATCACACCTGAATCAGGTAATGAAGGCCTGCAGAGGCATCTGAATACCAGAGCCAGGTATGTTAGAACTAATCAACGTACATGGAACATTTTTGTGCTCTGTCTCATCATTCCTAATTATCTTCATTGGACAGAGCAATTTTAGAAATATGAAGAAACATACAGTACAACATTTTGACATGAATAGTTATTAATTAAAATTTAATTGCTACATGTGAAATTGTATTTCCTAAAAGTAAAAGTAACCATAACATCTAAAAATGTAATTACTCCTTTTTTTAAGTAGTAAGGAATTAATTGAAACATAGTAATTACAATACAGTCTTTAGGCCTTCTGGGCTAGAAAAGAGGAAAAATACTATATATACAAATATATAAATACTATATAAGAAGAAAACAAATACTGAGAGATTTTATATTAAAATATTCTTTTCTTTGATGTAGTGTTTTTCAGACCTGTCAGTGTTCGTATATAATGATCTATTTCTATTTAAAATTGTACAAAATTAGGTTTAGTTTTTAACCATTTGCATTTATGAATATAACATTTTCTGTAAATACATTAACGCAGTTTATTTGATATATTATTCTCAAATAGAGCAATAAAATATCCTTTTCCTTAAAGTCCACCTATGTGTCTGTGGTTGTTTTTACAAATGTTCAACATTACACCAAAACAATCTTGAAGAAACACAAAAAAGCCCAGTGGTTCGCTCTTTCAGTCTCCGTGTTACAGTAAACACGCTGAACCTCCTCAGCTCCGCAACAGGCGGCGCCAAGTAACAGCGTCAGAGCCTCGCTAGGGCCGCGTCGACTGACACTGACGTAGTTTAGAAGCAGCAAGATGGCTACGGCTGCTTGGCTGCATGGCCCCAACAATACGCGGCTTACCGAGGGTCTGCTGTCCGCCCTCAAGGAAGAGAGGCCCGAATACCTGCCCGCACTTCTGACCAACTACCGAGAACATGGCGTGGTTGGAGCGCAGGTACGCAGGTCACCATCACTGCTCCACGACTTAGCTAACAGGCTAACATTAGCAGCGCAGCGTCTTTGTGTTTACTGTGGCGGAGATGCCGGTTAAATTACAGCTACAGTTTATTTGTGCAGCGAAAGATCTACACAGATTTTACCAACTTACTTTCATCATGCCGACTCACATAGCAAGTGGGCTGGTCTTCATACAAAATGGCCCGTTTCCCAGACCCAGATTTAGCCTAAGCCTAGACTACACAGTATTGGTGATTGGTGAACCATTAGCACTGTAGTTTAGTCTAAGACTAGGCTTAATCACTGGCCCTAAATGTCCAAGCTGCTCATTCAGTGTGTCTTCTGAAATCAAGGCTGTTAATAGGGAGTTTGTCCTCTCTTTGCTGCCTCTGCTCTTCTGCCAAGATGTAAGCTAACTTAGATCTTAGAATAGTGCTGGTGGGCTTTATACCTCTCTAGCTGACGCTTGGTATTGGGCATGGTGACCTTAGGCTTATGGGTAGCTGCTCCTGAGCATTTAATTCCATTAGTAATGTTGTGGAGGTAGAAGCTGTGTGTGGAACACCTGTGTCAGCAGTGGGTGCAGCTCATTCAGAGTAGCTGAATTCACTAATTTAAAGGGATGTCTGGATACTTTTGGACATATTGGACCTGTTTCCAAGCTCCACATTAAACCTAAGTCTGGTGTTTTAATGAAACACCACTGACATTGCAGTTTAGTCCAAACTAGGCTTAATCCATCTCCATGAATCTGGCCCATAGTGTATGTTTGGAGCTGTTGCACAAGCCTCAGTCAAAGCACATTTCCCTCATGGGTTATATTTACTCTCAGCTAATTACTTGCAGCAGCATAGTTAGTTGGAAAAATTCTCATCTATGCCAGTAAAGTTTTCAAAATGCTGTTTTCTCTCTGCATGTAGAACTCTGGGGCAGTTGGCGGCCTGGTGGGAATCAGCAACTCACGACTCGGATCCAGTAAAACCAGGTAGGTATCAGCATGACCATACACACGGTCACACAAAGTATCTGACACAGTCCTTTTCTTACCCTCTTCCCTAAAGCTGTGTACTTATTGTGTCAGTGTACTGAGCCTTAATGTCATATATTGATTGCCAAAATAATATTTTTATTAAAGGCAAAAATAATACATTAAAAGTAGTTAAATTTGTTCCAAACATTTGTTGTGTGTTTTAGGTTTGAGGGTTTATGTCTGCTGTCTATGCTGGTCAAGGACAGCTCAAGTGAGGTGTTCCAGCAGCACTGTCTGTCATGGTTGCGCTCTTTACAGCAGATCATACAGGTGAGGCACTTTCCTACATTTTGGCCTGTGTTGCATTTTCCCCAGTAAGAGATACTGCAGTGTGCAGGTTCTGTAGTTGGTGTGGAGAAGGTCTTTCTATCTGCTGTTTAGAATGAGGAACTCAGTTTGTTACCTCTGTAATAGTTGTGGGTCTAGATTCACTGTAGTCACTGGAGTCTGCAAGTTAAAATTTATGTTGAGTTATAGTCCATCAGAATAATGTACCAGAAACCACTTAAACATGAGTATATACAAAACAACTCTTCTTTGAGTAGCATAAAGAGTATTTTAAGTATCTACTATGCTATAACCATAGTCATACCTGAACATGCTTTGACAATATGTACTACTATGCCAAGTAATATGAATACTTTTTTCTGCACTGCTGTATAATGAGAGCACATTTTACCAGTACTTTGCTGACCTTTGTTGGTGATTTTTTTTTTTTTCTTTTTTTTCTTCAAATAAACTCAAATCTTCCTCTTTTCTGTCTCTGACACTGTCTTTCTCTCTCACTCTGAACACACAGTCCCAGGCTCCTCTGCCCTCTGTACAGCTAGCTGTCAGTGTGTTGCAGGACCTCCTGCAGTACTCATCACAGCTGCCGGAGCTGGCCAGAGAGGTGGGCCTTAACTCCATCCTGGGCATACTTACTTCCCTGTTGGGCCTCAAGTCTGAGGTAAGAATGCTATGCAGTAGTGCTGAAATTATGTTAATTTTAACAATTACCTATACGCCACAGTTATACACAATAATGATGCTACAGCTAGTAAGAGTCAGGGCTTTGTTTTGCCTTCAAAGCCACTTTAGTCTTTCTTGCTGTTATACACAATAATCACATTGAACCAAACAGTTAGTAGCTAGCAAAGTTGGTCAACAGGTGTCTTTGACTTTCTCAGAAAAAGCCCCCCATACAGTAGAACAGAGTACAACAAATGTAGTTGATTTATCAGATTATATTAGATTATTAGGTAAAAGCAACCTTTCTTATCTCATAAGAAATTGCAAAATAACAGTAGCATAAAGTATTTTTGCACAGTTATGAACAACCTTACCCTGAATGTGCTTTGCAGCCTCTGTATTAAAGTTGTCTTCATCATAGTGCCACCTAGCTGCCATGGAGGGGATGATGGCATGTATGACCTATTATCCGCGGGCATGTGGATCACTCAAGGTGAGTTCTGTGATGTTCCCATTTTTGAAACCATTAATCTTAATGCTGTACCTGTGTGCTCATTTTGTATTAACAGTGATCATGTGCTCCTGCAGGAAAAGCTGGGGGTTTATTTCCTATCTAAAATGGACTCTGACAACCCGAAAGTTCAAGAAGTAAGTGCAAATCTTGTTATATGATTGATATTTTAGTCCAGGATGTTCGTTGGGATAAAATCTGTTGTTGGTTGGTTTTGCTTTACATCACAGAATAAAACGGAGTGTTTCAGTTCTCACAGAATGTTGTATTACTCTGTTTGTAGGTGGCCTGCGAGTGTTATGGGCGGCTGCCGTGCCTGGGAGGTGTGCTTGAGCGTGGAGGAGGTGGGCGTCGGGCTGAGGGATGGACCAACCAGGTGCACTGTCTTCTGGCTTCAGCCAACAGCATTCTTGGACAACTGTACCAGGGCATAGAAACAGGTAGGCGAAACTAGGGATGGGTGGTACCACTGATGTTCTGAACCAGGGCTAGTATCCCAAAACCAGAACCTGGTATGAAAAGTCTTCATATGCACATAAAAAAATTCTGAATTCTTTACAGTGGTGGTGATGGGAACCAGGAGTCACCAGGGGTCATTGTCTACAATACAGATTTAGCCACTATATTTACTATCTAAAATTACCAGTGAACCAACATGTGAATTTTTATATGCAGTGTTGACAACTGTAAGACACAATTTTTTTTTCAGCGCCTTGCATGTACCTCTTCACCACAAATGGAATTTAAAAAATATGTTTTAGGCCAAAATGTTATCACAGAGCTTATATTATGTGTTCAGTCATCATGGCAACTTCAGTTAGGTCTGAATTAAGGACAATAGCTATTACAAAATAACAGTACCTATGTTCATAAACTTATCCTAACTCCAGATAAGAAAGGAGTATTACAGGAGCATCTTAACTAGACAAAATTTCCTAAATACTGTCCTGACTTTGGGACAATACCAAATGGTGTCCTAACTTCCATTGTAACTGTCTGTTTCTATTGTTTTTAAGGCAACTGTGACAGGCAGCATAGTTCATTGTTTACTGTAACTAGCGTAATGACATTACCTTACCTTTCTTTTTTGCCGCCCCCTCTTATTACCTTCATGAATACTTTTTAATAAAAACTCATAAAATATACCTTGCAGCAATGGGGATGAATAATGAGGGGACAGCTGAACATGTGGTAGTTTATTAGGAAGAATAACAGTATAGTTCGCATGCCAGCTACAGCTTTAGGAAATGAAACTAAAACTGGGGAGGGGCAATGCTCTGATAAACAGCACAGGGTGCTCTCACAAAATTCCTAACTTCCAGTGTACTGCACTTTAGTTTGGACGTTTTTGATGTGGGTAATGACAGCTGTCTAGCTAACTAACTTACATTTTTAACATTATTTTGATTGTGTTTGTTGTATCGGTTGCTTGATAACAGACCTAACAATTGATTATCAACCTTAATCAAATAGTTTTGGATGTAAGATATAATTTCTAAATTAAGATAAGATTTGCTTTTATACTATGAATTTGCAAGAAATCTTATCTTGACCTTGTCAAATCTTAGAGCTAAATTTAGGGCTAAAGATAGGAAGTTTCTGTTAAAGCAGCTTCTGGTTCTTATAACCACCACTGTGAACAGTTTCTCTAAAATGGCACATTTATCATCAGGTCTTTCTAAATTCCTTTTTAATTGCATCTTATTCATTTTATCATGCATAATTGTGAAAAGAAAATGTGGAAACTCAACAGGGTGCTTTGTTTTCTTCTATGCATTTGTGTGTATGAGGAGCGAACGGAGAGAGGAAGGAAAATAGTTCTAGTCCTACATGATGAAATGCTGCCATTGTTTTTTCTACCTTTGCAGCATCAAAGCACATTTAATTGACAACTATCATAATGAATGTAAAAGAAAACCCTGAATATCAATTTTTTTTACATGAGAATTGATTCTCAAAAGGAAACACCAGGACCGTGTATATCGTTAGATCAGTGTCCATTTCACCTGTTCCTCAGTAGAGCCAGTGTCCAATTTGTGTGTTTTGCCCCTTATTACTTCTACGTTTTTCTTTTTTTTCTTGTTTGTTTAGAAGAGACCATACAGTATGATGGACCAGGAGTAGAACTTCCCTTTCCTCCTCTGGATGACATTGATCCACTGTTGATTCTTCAGCTTCGCCAGCGCTACAGAGCAGTGTGTTTGGCCCTTAAACATACACTCAGGTAGCTATGCGTGTCTGTGCATTGCTTCTTCTCCAACCAGGAATTCCCCAGTCTCTCGTAACTCAGATAGCCAAGACATGTCTTTGTTAGTTTTAAAATTGAATTTTATATATGCAGCCTGAGGTCGAGTCCCAGTGGTGCCAGCTTGGTGCATGAAAATGCACTGTATATAAAATAGTTGTAAATTTGTGTCTGAAAGTTGATCCTGACAAACATTTTTTGTTTTTCTTTTTTGCATGTAGTGTTGATCCGGTAACCCCAGTGCGTCTTTCCATTCAGCATGTACTCAACCTGGTGTGTCGCGCTTTGGCCGTTACCAGTAAGAGCATTGTAAGTGCCCTGGTTCCTTTTTCCCACATTTGAAGAGTTTCCACCAGCTTTTTTGTTACTTTCACGATAAAACAATGCTCATCCTTCCTTGTGTGTGTCTTTCTGCAGAATGTCACAGGTGAAGGTTGTTTGAAGCTGTTGGTGTTACCCTCAATACACAGTGACTCTCTGGAGCTTCTCTCTGTTCTAATCAAAGTGTGGGTAAAAAGTGACCAATTATTAAACAAGTCTGCTTAAAAAAATGTATTGAAGTACTATACAACCAGCTGTATACTGAATGATTTAAATAATTTATTAATGGATGGATTTGATTATTGTTAGGGGGTGTTCAAGCTTTTAGGGGGCAAGTAAAGTCATTTGATTGACGAGTGTGTGAACACGTAAGGGTGAGACGAACGATAAACATTTTGAAACTTGACTATAAGAAATTTAATTGAAAACTTCTTTCTTTACAAAAAAAACACCCAAAAAGCTTTTCTTTCATTGGCGACTCGAGAGGCACCATCCTTGATATTGATGTTCATGATGTTGACTGGTCAGCTGAGATGACACGGCTTAAAAGGCTTTTCATGTGCTTGAGAGAGTTTAAAAACTTTGTGCCCCTTTTAGTCTTTCGTGTTGAGTGGGCTTTTGATTGAATGGTATTGTCTGTTTCAGTGTGGGTGGTGGACTGGTGCAGTATTGTAGTGTGCTCACCAGGCTCTTCTCCCAGTCACTGTCTGCATGGACGCCCCTACCTGAGGCCAGCCTGGGTCAACAAAGAGCGTACAGGTAAAAACAAAAAAAAAACAAGCAATTATGGAAGAATTTCAGTTCTGCTGGTTGATCATTTTGATGTGACAAATACCTGTAGTATAACATATTTCACTGCAAACTGTATGAGTAATGTAGGTTATTGTCTCTTTCGTCCTACCTACAGTACTGTGCGAGTGGCCATATACCACACACTAGAACTGTGGGTGCGTGTGGGCGGAGCCTCTTCCTCAGTCCTGCAGGGAAGCACCTCCCACTCCGAGATGCTCTTTGCTCATCTCATGGGTGACATTACACCAGGAACTGAGGCTGTCAAAGTATGTCCTTTTCTAATATATTGTAATATACTCACTCAAGTAATGTGTTTACAGTACCTTTCAAAAGTCTTGGGAAAATTCTAAGTAAAGCTAATTATCTGGCAGTAAGCATTGAAAAAATTTGGCCCACTGTTCTTACCTTTAATGTATGTTAATGTAACAAGATCTCATGTCTAGGTCTGTGTAACTTTGATCCATTCTGTCGGCTCATTTGTCATGAAATGTTCACTATGTAAAGGAGAGCAACCACATACAAATGCCATTGACATATGTGGTTTACTTTACTTGTACCATTAATTTTATCTTCTCACTCTCTTAGTTTCTCCTTGGTTTTTCCTTCTAGCTTCGTGGAGGACAGACAGCCCTGTCAGATTTTGTGGGTGCAGCTGGGAAGGCGGGGCCGCGGCGGACGAAAGGCTTGGGGATTGGTGACCAAGCAGGAGTTTCACTGCAAAGAAAGGGCGATGCGTTAGCCAATCAGGACACATGCTTTGCTGCCCTTCGAGGTGAGGGGCTCGATAAATTGGAAATCAGTTACTTGGATGTCTTAATTTGGAAGCATTAATGGATATTATTGTTTTTTTAATTGCAGCCCTCAGACAGATAATGTTGACTAGTGGCACTATCCTGAAAGAGGATCTACATAAGGTTAGTTACTGTTTCTGTGGTTGTCCTCTGGGCACAGTACATTTCCATAAGGCATTGCATATGTTACAGTGCAGTTTGAATATTAAAATCATCTTCTTTGATCTCTCTCTCTCTCTCTCTCTCTCTCTCTCTCTCTCTCTCTCTCTCTCTCACCCGCCCCCCTCAGAGGCTGCAGGACCTGGTGGTGCCGTTGTGTGTGCGATTGCAGCAACAGGCTCAGTGCGGGTCAGAGGTTGGCAGTGTTAGTGGTCAGTATGGTAGTGCACCCCCTCGTCGGGAGCTCTACCGGCTCCTGCTGGCACTGATTTTGGTTCCCTCACCACGATGGCCTCCTCCACTCTCCTGTGCTGTGTCTGTATTCAGCCAGGGCCGCCGGGACCGCAGCGTCATGGTGAGTGAGTGGAGATGAACAGCGTCCTCAATCGGTGGCTCCTAGTCTTGATTCTGGAGTAGAGCTTTTATCAGGCCTGAAATTTTGGTCCGAACCTGAATACAACCCGAGAACACTATGCCTAAGGCTGGCGTTACATATCAAATTTTAAATGTAAATATATGTGTTATTATTTACTGGAGGAATCGATGTTCAGTAGGGTTGGATAAAACCAACTCTGGATGCTCTGTGAGCACTGTTTATGATGGACATGTATAGTCCTGCGTAGGGTTGCTAATCTGGGATCAGGTTTTTTTTTAAATGCTGTCCGACTAGATAAGGAGAGAAACCTGATACTGGACAAAACAGCACATTTGTTTTGTCATGCTTTATGAATGTTGGCACACCGCTTACTTTAAGTGAGTCCCACTTTTGGCATATAGTTTTTTTTTTTTCACCTTTTTACCTCACAAAAGCAATTCTTTGCACCTCAGCATTCTTTCTTTCTTTACATTATATGCCTATTTAACAGGTTAATCATGCTGTTAGAGGTTTGATTAAAAAAAGTTATTTATGAATTTCTTGGTTTAGACACATCCTTCAAGAAAGCCATGTAAATTTGAATGATGGGAAGTAATTGATTAAACAGGTCATCAGTGGGGTAAACTGAAAACAATGAACATGCACACTCAATGTAACGTGATGGAGTGGAAGTTAAGATGTAGCTGTCTTTTTGTTTAACCCACACTTCTGTCATGTATCAGGTTGCTGAATGATTCTTATATATGGGCTTAGCACAGGAGTGTCCAATCTTCATCGGTGTGGCTGCAGGTTTGCATTCTGAACAAGCTGGAGCACACCTGATTCTACTTGTTTAATCAGCTGATCTCTGTCATCAACAACTGATCTTGTGTGCTCCTGTTTCGCTGGAATGAAAACCTGCAGCCACACTGGCCCTTTGCGGATACGACTGGACACCGCTGACTGAGAAGATTCAATCATGAAGGCATTTGAATATTTGATTTTAAAACTAGATAAATACAGAGATGAGTAATTGTAGATATGATGTAAAAGATGTTTGAAAATTTCGGTTTTATTTACTGCAGGGCAAGTTAGGATTGTCTTAAAGCGGCTTTTGAGGACTATGTGTCATCATTGCTCCCTCTTGGTCTCTCCAGGTTTCCTCATTCTGTGCCGAAGCCCTGACTATATGCAATACTTTGCTTCACCCACGTTCCCCCTCCATCTCCCTCCCTCTACCGCCTCTCACCCTCAAGCCCCCCCCAGCTGCGCCTGTGCTTGGCCCCACTCAGAACCCCTCACTCTCCCTTCCTACCCTGCTGGGGGGGCCTGCACCAGGGCCTTCCTTTCCCGCCAGACATCCTCTGGGCTTAGGTCCTGTTGCCTTACTAGGCACCCTGGAGAACCATCTCCCACTGGCTCCTCCTGTGCTCCCCACCCCGCCGGGTGCCACTGGAGCTCAAAGTGACTTGCTGCTCTCTCCAGCACAGCCAGCTGAACTTGCAGGTTTGGGGGCCCCTGAGGGCCAACGGCAGGTGTTTGTCCGCTACGACAAAGAGGAGCCTGAAGATGTGGAGATCTCTCTAGAGAGTGACTCTGATGATAGTGTGGTCATCATGCCTCAAGGAATGATGCTGGAGATGCAGGAAGGGGCCAGTAATGCACAGACCCTGCCTGCACCGTCAGGGGGCGCCATTCCCACTCCTGCTGAAGTGGGCTCAGTTGAAACTTCCCTCCCTAATGAACTTCCCACATCCATTTCACATCAGATCCTGCCAACGGATGCCAACAATATCAATTCCTTCCCTGGGCCTGGCCAGGCAGACCAGTTGGTTTCCTTGGTGCCTCCCCTGAACTCCACTGCTGTGTCGCTAGCAGCATCCCCTGGTGGCCTGGGCAACTCGCTGCCTGCCGGTCCCCAGCTTCAGCAGATGCTGATGCAGCCTTCCTCAGGTGGGCAGTCAGCTCAGCTGGGTCTCTCTTTACACATGCAGCTCCAGAGCCAGCTGGCCCAAACGAGCCGCCAGCAACAGCAGCAGCAGCCTTCCGCCCCTGAGGAAGACCAGAATGTTATCAACATCAACAGCTCGGACGATGAAGAGGAGGAGGACGAAGAGATGGAGGATGAAGATGAGCTGGGAGAAGAGGAGGAAGAGGAGGAAGGGCTGGAAGAGGATGAGGAGGAAGAAGAAGGAAGCGATTTCCCTGATGATGAGTTCTATCCAGGGGAGGAGTTTGAGGACTTTGAAGAAGAGGAGGGAGAGGAGATAGAAGAAGAAGACGAAGAAGAGGAGGAAGAGGAAGAAGAGGAGGTCCAGCCTTTGGAAGGGGAGAACCAAAGAGCCGTGATGGGAGAAGAGGAGGGTGAAGTGATGATAGAAGAGCAAGAGGAAAGAAGGATGGATGCATTTCACGTGGAGAGGGAAGGACAGGTGGAAGCAGGGATAGAAGAAATGGAGGGCGTCCAAAGCATCTATGGAGAGGAGGGTATGAAGGACAAAGTGGCTGTGGAAGAGATCGAGAACATTGGGGCTGTAGAAAGGAATGAAAGTGAGGCCAGTGAGCCACAAATAGAGGCTCGTGTGACTGGTGATGAGGCAGAGGAGGTCCGGGAAGGAACCTCAGCAGCAGCAGCAGCAGCACCTGAGCAGGAAGAAAGGCCTTGGGAACAGGAAGGAACCGGACAAGAGCCAGTGCCAGCAGCCCCTGAGGATTCCGCAATACCTAAGGAGAGTCAGGAGGTGGCTGCAGAAGCTGGAGTCAGTAAGCAGAGTGCAGAAGCAGAACAAGAGGAGACAGCCAATCAGAGTACAGCATCTACATCAGAAGAAGTCCCATCAAAGCAAGCAGAGGAGGCTGCAGGGAAGGAGAAAGATGAAGGGCAGCAGGAAGAGGAGGAGGAAGCCCGAGGAACAAAGAGGAAAATTGAAGATTGTGAAGAAGGAGAGAGGTCTGAGCAGGGCAGTGAGAAAAAAAAGGTACGTTTTTGTGAATGTGCTCAGATTTCATATTTCTCTAACACATGCTCTAGTCTGCTCCATTTGAAAGTGCTGTTACTGCTAGTGCCGGTTTTAAACCAGAAGTGGCTTTTCCGCCGGTAAAACAGAACATACCAGATAAAAGTGCGGCACATAGAGCACACACACACACATTTTCTAAGCCGCTTAGCCTTCTGGGTCGTGGGGGAGCTGGAGTTCCATCAGTCATTGGGTGGAAGGCAGGAAACACCCTGGACAGGTCGCAAGTCCATTGCAGGGCACAGACACATACATTTACACACATTCACACCCAGGGGCAATTTAGCTTGTTTAGTTGGCCTGACTGCATGTCTTTGGACTGTGGGAGGAAACTGGAGCACTCAGAGGAAACCCGCACAACACTTTAGCCTCAAAATTCTCATCAGTGACCCTGGCTCTGTTTGGGGTGAGAATCAGGCCTGAATAATCTCTCCACTGCTGCAAAGCTGTTGCGGCTACACAGCAGAACTAGATTTCTAGGTAATAACATTTGCTGTAAAATCGTTATAACACACAGTTCTAACACAGTTTTCACAATAAATGTATAATTAAGAATTCACCAACCTTTAACGCTGAAGACTGACATGCGGACTGACGTGCAGACTGCTGGTCACACAGCAACGCAGATAACGAAACGGCAAAGAGAAAGATTTAAGACGAACATCGATAATTTGGAGATGAACGGACTTATTTGCATTTATAAGCAGCTGCTTTCCTCTGAGGTTTAATATGCAACAAGTTGCGAAGCTGAAGTCAGCTTCTCATTCTCCTGCTTCTCGTTCGAATTTTCGGGGTTCCACCTTAAATGGCGCAGCAGTACAATCTGGCGCCTCAGGCACCATTTAAGGTGGAACAGGACAATTCAAACGAGAAGCAGGAGAAAGAGTCTCATAAAAAGCCTCGTAAAAAGTTGAACATTGAGAGACATTTTACAAGAAACTTGCAGAAAATTTTCCCCAGATGGAAGAGAAGTGGCTATAGCTGACCTAAAGCCTAAAGCAGAGCAAAGTAAGTCTGCGTTCTCGTTTATATTATATTTTTAGCCTGTACTGGCACATCAGCACATACTGAGACATATTTACTGCCAAGATGGTAAAATGGACATAAAATGCTGTGTTTCCCAAGGTGGTTTCATTTTTGTTGAAAGGACAGAATGCCTCTTCTTACCATTTCAGTTGCGACCCCTGGGCTAAGCCTACTTGTAAGGGGTGATCAGCGCATGCCCGTTTGCTCAAACTGTCCTCGGCTCATTCAGAATTGCACAATCCCCACCAGCCCAGTTGATGCATGCGTTCTGTGGTTCAAATTTTTCGCCGGTTGCCTGAAGCCTGTAGCGAAAATTATCGCTATAGCTACACACAAATTTTGGTAGCTAATAGCTGTAGCTGCTACAGTTTTATGAAATGTAGCTAATAGCTGTAGCGCGCTACTTAGCTACTCCCCCATCCCTGGGTGCAGCTATATGCTAATATAGCTAACACGTAATGAGCAATTAGCATTGTGCAGAGTGCATGTCTAAATAATCACACGCACTGTGTTGCACTGTTTAGTATGACACTGTATTGCATACTGTTATCTATAAAAATGAACATTAGGAGGAACAGTAAGTCTTCAAGATGGCTGCTCCTGCTGTTTTAACAAGTGTCATTTTTTTTTTTAGATAACTGTGTTAGAAACCAGATGAATTACTTAACGACTCAACATGGTTTGAGGAAAGTGTTTGACGATGTAGGCATGCAATTTATTTTATATTATTTGTGTTGTACACAGTAAACTACATTCGTCTCAGAGCTCCAGTGCAAAACTAAACAGCAAGCTTTGAACACCAAACATGTCATGGGTGGTCAATACATTTGAAGATCATTTCAAGGAGAACTGTCTAAGATTTTTTTGCCAAGTTATTTCTTTAACAGAGTTTAACAAATTAAAGTGTGGTTCTCTGAGAGTACTACAAGTGGAGTCAACATGTCTGTCCATAAATTTAGTGGCCTCTGATGTTTATACTCCATTCACAGTATGTAAACACTAGCTGCAGCAACACAGCAGCAATCTGGGGGATGCAGTGCTGATCATCTTGCTGATAATTTGTTTGGTCTTTTCTTCTCTCCCTTCTTTTCCTCTTTTTTTTTTATATTTCTTTATCTTATCTGTTCTGTATTTCATATGTATTGTCTCTTTTATATTTCTCTTTCCTCCCCAGCTGGATGATGAGGCAATGGCTTCCATGCTGGCTGACTTTGTGGACTGCCCTCCAGATGACGAAGATCACGGTGCCTCACAGTCGCATTCCTAGAGCAAAAACACCTCCAGGACCCATAACCCATTTGCTATTCATATGGAAGTCTTTCCCAGAGAGCGTCAGATTCCTGAGGATCTTGCATCAATATTTACATACAGCTCTAATTGGTTAAAACTGTACTTGAACCTCTTTCATTATCACCTATAATTATTTAATAATTCCATAAACTGTTAGTATCTGTGATGCAGTTATGGTTTTGCTTGTGATGTCATTCAAGAGTTACTCTTTTATGGTGTCATAAAGCGTTCTTCTAATTTAGAACCGATTATGATCCACACAGTTGATTCATTCTTATGGCCCAATAAGTTTAGCCCTGTTACAATGTTTACTTCTCGCAGATGCTTCCCAACATTACCAGGAATTTTGGCCTGTGAGAGGGAAGATGTACGGACTTCGTTTGCAGAGCTCTAAACGTTTCTGCTCGTGGGTTGCATGCCTTCAGCTTGCTTGCATAACCTTCTGTTTGAATTCCTTTCCTGACCTCTGAGCTTACACTAAAGAACTTGGTAACATCAAGAGGACGAAATGATTAATGTAATGTTCTTGGGCTCTTTCATATTTCATTTTTTGTACTATGATTTGTTTGTTATATATGTGCTATTTTTTGTTAACTTGTTGCAGACTATTAAAAACAGAAAAACACTGACATTGTAGGTTATTTATTGAGAATGCATGTAGCTACACTGAACCAGTAGTCGGACGTGAGTAAATGTGGTTGTCAATTAGCTGACATTTTTATTGTGCGCTTGGAATATATATATATATATATATATATAAATAAAACCTTAGGCAACAAATATATACCTAAATATACCTTAGCAAGAAATATGTGATAAAGAATTAGAATATGGAAAAACCATTTAAAAAATGAACACATTTACTGCTTTTATGAAGCTGCACACTTTTGTGGGGACATGTTAAAAGCCAAATGCCAGCTTGTCACTATTAGCTCACAGTTGCCATCTCTCCACACTGCATTCTTTCACAATCACAATTTGCCAGTTTGAAAGATGCTGTGAGACAATAGATGCTGTGAGGTGGCACTGGGTGTAACGGACATAGCTGACACGTCAAGCTTAAACTCGTATGCACAGAAGTTTACACATGAGCTTTGTTATACTGTGTAAACTTGCATAAAAAGTTCACGCTCGCCTGCAGCGCAGTACGGCCAGACATGTTTTATTTAGTTATGGCGCAGAAGAACATCTTTGGAAATAATTTGGCCAGTTGACGTGGACCTAAAAAAGACCACTCAGTTTATGTTTTTAACTCCTTGGAACCACCGGTGGTTCCAAAACGCACTTTGTCATATTCTTTACTTCATAACTTTCATATTTTATAAGCTTCATTTAAAAGGTGGGTGTCATATGAGAGCTGTAACTGTCTTCTTTCCGGTCAAATAGATGGGTAATGTAATTTCTAAACTTTATAATAAAAGAAGCTAAACTTAATACAAAATACAAAAAATACAAAGAGCATCTAAGACTTTTGGCTTTCAGCAGTAAATTGTAAGCATATAGCAATATGTGTATGATCATAAAACATTTTCTATTTGAGGGAACCTTTTACAGAAAAAAAAGACACTTATTTCATGCAGTTACTGAATAATTTGCCTAACGATTTGGGCATGTAAATTCAGATGGAAAAAACGAAATATACCCACGAGCAGAAGAGGTTAACTTTTCTGGTACTGTTTACATCCCTTCAGTGGAACTTCAAGGTTTTTAAATACTTCCACTTCTTAATAATATGGGTATTAATCAAGGGTATTAATACTGAGTTTGTCCACCTTTGCTGCAGTAACAACCTCTGCTCTTCTGGGAAGGCTTTACCCTAGATGTTGGAACATTACTGTGAGGATTTGATTGCATTCAGCCACAAGAACATTAGTGAGGTCAGGTACCGATGTTGGATGATTAGTTCTGGATCACGAACGCCACTCCAACTCCTCCCAAAGGTATGGGATGGTGCTCTATCACTCTAGAGAACAGTTCCACTACTCCTCAGCTTTATATCCCTTTAGGCAAAGCTTGTCATTGGGCATGGAGACCATAGACCTCATGTGTAGCTGCTCCACAGTGTCCCGTTCTACTGGCAATGCTTTTCTGGGAAGATTATACAAGCTCTTTGTACGCAATTGAATCCCTGTGTCAGCAATGAATTCATTAATTAGATCGAGTGTTTGGATATTTTGGGGACATATGTGTGCTACAGCAGATAGAACACCAAAAAATGTGCAGCACTGTGGTACTCAAGGACCAGAACTGGAAAACACTGCAAGGAACCAACTAATGTATGTGAACTTCCCATGAACAGGCAACAGAGAAACAGCCTTGCTGGTGTTTAGCCATAAGTAACAGCAGCAGTACAGTGCAGAGTCATATGAGAATTAGCTGAAATAGGAAAGAGAAGTTTGGAGAATGTGAAAAGAAGAAGTTCAGAAAACGTGAGAAAAAGCAGGTTTGAATAAGAGCTTGTTGCCTCAAACCATAGGATGCATAATGTGTGTGTGTGTGTGTGTGTATATATATATATATATATATATATATATATATATGCGCTATATGTGTAATATATCGATGCTGTTGGAAGAAAACTTCGTATCTCCATTATTGTCATTTTTCAGTTTTTGACATAATTTGAAAATGTCTGTTGCTTTCCCTTTTGTGTAAATTTCATGATGAATTGAAGAACCAAATTAATTAGCATACAATAAAGACAGTATAAGTAAAAATATACATGTAGAAGTATAGATGAGTTATAACTGTTGAAAATGTTTAGATTCCAGTGTATGTGTGTGGATCATTTTACTGAATTGGTTCAAAGTCAGAGTTAAAAACACCTTCCAGACTTTTAACTGGCTTGACTTTAGACTAAAATAATTTTGCTTTAAGTGACCCTATACCTTATTAATTATTTATTAAAACAAACAACTCAGCATTCTATTTTGACACTAACAAAACAATCATAAAACTGCTGAAACTTTACCATGTGTTTCAGTAGTGACTGTTTTGGTAGTGACGATTTTAGCTAAATTTTGACCAGAACTCAAAGACGCCAGCTAATACATGACTAGCAAACACAGCTTTGAACAGCTGTATGCACAAAATCTAAATCAGATTTTTCGTTAAATCCCAAACAAGTTTACTTACATTTGTTTCAAAACAACGGGATCAACTGCTCACCATGTGGCCATGAGGGACGATGTAGTCTCACGTCCTGCTCTACAATGGTGTGGCTAAAATATATACCACCTTTAGAAAAATGTGTTTCCCATTATCCATCTGTTATTCTTTTTAAAAACTTGTTATATCTATTGTTTTCAGTAAGGGAAATAAATTAAATGAATTTGGAATGAAACTCCTCAACAGTTTCTGTAGCTGGAAATTACAGCTATTTTTCTTCGCCAGTAGGTGGCAGTAATTGCGATAATTGCTATATGTTGAGCGGCCATAGAGTCTTGAGTGAATATCTCTGTGAAACCGTTGAAGAGAAGCGAATGAAAATCATTGAAACAATAAAGTGTCCAACATGACGCATTTTTCATACGAATACTGAATTATATATGCAATTTACATCGCAGATATAATATTTACACACTGATTTTAGGCTGCTTGGTTCATTTGTTAATCCTCCTTTGACAGGGACTCTTATTCTGAAGGGCTGTGTGCACGCGGTGGCAGTGCGTCACAGGGCCTAGTAGTAAACAGACTGAGCCGAGACAGCGAGAGGGCGCTCTAACTGCGCTTAGCCGAGCGCTAACCCAGCGCGATATCCTCCTCTTGCTTTCGTTCGCCGTTCTTCAGTTTTTCAGTTAACCCAGTCATGGACTTCAACTTCAACTTGTGTGAGTTCTTTGGAAACACCGCACGCTACAATAGGAATATCTTCTTGACGTTAATGTGCAGTTCTGTCTGTTTTTTATATGTTTGTGGAACAACAGAACCAGTATGTATAGCTGGGTTCCTCATCATTTCCCGCGTACTGCACTGCCCTGTACACTCACGTGCCCTCGTTCCGTGTATTGTGTAAAAGTCATAAGATGATAAAAAAAAATATTATTTAATTCCTTTGAATTTTGTTAATGTCCTGTTTTTATGAGCCATATTGTACTTAGCATTCATCAACGTTCCTGTGACAGCAAAAGAATGACTGTTATTTTGGTAAGTAATGATTAACCCCTGCTATTTTATTAGCTTTTAATCTAATAAAGTATGACTGGTTCATCACTTTACTTTAGGGGGCACAGACATTATTAATTCATCATGAAGATTCAGTATTTAATCAGTAATACAGTGTGAATAGTTGATCACTTTACTTTAGGGGACACAAACATTATTCATCATTGTTGTATTTTTCTCACTCTGACACAACCAGCACAACCGGAGCTTGTAAATTAGCAGTTGAGTTCAATCAGGTATACTAGATGAGGGAAAGCACAAAAATGTGCATGGAGTTAAGGATTCTTAGGACCATAGGAGAAAGGCACTACACTTTCCCTATCAATTATTAACTAATTTCTGAGTTCAGTGGTAACTGTAGGATAAACCATACCCTCACGAGGCGCTGTGTATTAACATAAAAGTTAAAACATGTTATATTATTAACATGAAAGATGAATTAAAACTATGGCAGCTGTCACAAATGAGGACCAGTTGCAAAAAGATGTAAGTGTAAGCTTTTAATTTTATTAAATAAATAGTCACTAGGTGGGTAGAAACAGACGAGGTAACATAAGAAATCAAAAACAATAAACTGAAGACCTGACAGACACTAAAACAAATACAAGGGCTGCTTCCACAGCAAGATGAAGCAGAAGGACAGTTGACTTTGATAGACACAATATTCCAGAGCACTGTGTGTCAGGAGGATCTTGTGACAAAAAACATTAATTAACACATGAATTCCTGATGAATTCAGACACTGAAAAAGCCTTTATTACCTTCATCTTCATTCATTAGTACATGCATTAGTAATTTAATCTTGTGGTTGTTAATATATGACTTATTCATTTGTTCCTGATTAATGACTCATTACTTTCTGATTAGTTGTTCATCAGTAAATTCTTTAATTACTGTCAGATCATGTACCCTTAATGTAAAGTGTTACTGAATAGTCTGATATTGTATGAACCTTAAAGTACCTCCACATATAAGGTTCTATGACAATTGAAGGTTTTTCCTAGAGCTGCGTGTACAAATTAAGAACAATTTAGCAATTGTCATTTCCGAGAGAGTAGCTGGATCCTTTTGTTTTGAGAAATTGGGAAGATCTGCCATTTGTGAATTAATGAAAGTACAAACTCTGCAGCCTCTACAAATGAGCTTAAATGCCGATAACAGTAGAGAAATTAGAGAAATGAACACAGCGTCTTTCTCATATCTGTGCTGCGTAACTCAGCTTGATTATCAGCATAAGATTGTGAAATGCATGAGTGATGTATGACTGGGTTAGTGTAGCTCTGTAGGATAAAGGATCCGATAAAGATCCAACTGTCAGTGTTAACCATGTGGTCATTGAGTAATCTATGATTGTACATTTTCTCACACTGGACAGTGAAGCTTAAAAAGGAAAACGGCGCAGGGGTAATATACATAGGGATGTGGGTGTGTGTGTGTGTGAGAGAGAGAGAAAGAGAGAGAGAGA